TGACCTTGCGGACCTCGGAGACGCTCGCGGGCCTCGACGGGCCGAACTTCGGCCGCCGCCTCGGGTCGCGCTCTCAGCGGAGCTGGATGCCTGCGGGTACCACGACCGATCCCTCTCCCTACTTAAGTAGCTCGCCGGGGGTCCGCAGGGTCGGCGAGTCTCACCCCGCCGACTCGCTGCGCCGCCGTCGACCATGGCCGAGGGCGAGGACGAGCAGGGCTCGTCGACGAAGGTCGACGACGGCCTCGCCGTGCAGGACCTCGCGACGCTCGACGTGTCGTCGCTGAGCCCGGCGACGCCCGAGGTCATCAGCCGCCAGGCGACCATCAACATCGGGACCATCGGCCACGTCGCCCACGGCAAGTCGACGGTCGTCAAGGCCATCTCCGGCGTCCAGACCGTGCGCTTCAAGAACGAGCTCGAGCGCAACATCACCATCAAGCTCGGCTACGCGAACGCGAAGATCTACAAGCGCGTCGACGAGCAGCCGGGGCCCGGCAACTTCCGGTCCTTCGGCTCGTCCAAGCCCGACGCCTTCACGGACCCCGCGACGAAGATCGCCTGGAAGCTCGTGCGCCACGTCTCCTTCGTCGACTGCCCCGGCCACGACATCCTCATGGCGACGATGCTCAACGGCGCGGCCGTCATGGACGCGGCGCTCCTCCTCGTCGCGGGCAACGAGCCCTGCCCCCAGCCCCAGACGTCGGAGCACCTCGCCGCCGTCGAGATCATGCGCCTCGAGAACATCATCATCCTCCAGAACAAGGTCGACCTCGTCAAGCCCGACGCGGCGCTCGCGCAGCACGAGCAGATCAAGAAGTTCGTCGCGGGCACCGTCGCCGACGCCGCGCCCATCATCCCCATCTCCGCCGTGCTCAAGTACAACGTCGACGCCGTCTGCGAGTACCTGGCCCACGCCATCCCGACGCCCGCGCGCGACTTCGCGTCGCTGCCGCGGCTCATCGTCATCCGGTCCTTCGACGTGAACAAGCCCGGCGAGGACGTGGAGCACCTCAAGGGCGGCGTCGCCGGCGGCTCCATCCTCCAGGGCGTCCTCAAGATGGGCGACGAGGTCGAGGTGCGCCCGGGCATCGTCAAGAAGGACGCGCAGGGCACGGTGTCGTGCACGCCCATCTACTCCAAGGTCGTCTCGCTCTTCGCCGAGTCGAACGCGCTCCAGTACGCCGTGCCCGGGGGCCTCATCGGCGTCGGCACCCACATCGACCCGACGCTCACGCGCGCGGACCGCCTCGTGGGCCAGGTCCTCGGCCTCAAGGCGCACCTGCCCGACGTCTTCATCGAGGTCGAGATCTCCTTCTACCTCCTCCGCCGCCTCCTGGGCGTCAAGACCTCCGAGGGCTCCAAGCAGGCCAAGGTCCAGAAGCTCCAGAAGCAGGAGATCCTCATGGTCAACATCGGCTCGACGGCGACCGGCGGCAAGGTCCTCGCCGTCAAGGCGGACCTCGCGAAGATCCTCCTCACGCAGCCCGTCTGCACCATGGAGGGCGAGAAGATCGCGCTGTCCCGCCGCGTCGACAAGCACTGGCGCCTCATCGGCTGGGGCCAGATCCGCCGCGGCGCGCGCGTCGACATCAACGCGTCCTAGGGCCCCGCGCGCGGCGGGCGGCGGCCCCGCGCGGCGGCGCGCGGCCGGCGGCGGCGCCCGGGCGGCGCCCGCCCCGGAGCCCGCGCGACTCGTCGACCCTTAGCGGCAGACCTTCTTCACGTGGAGCGTCGGGAAGTGCTGCGTGCACGGCGCGCCCGGGACGGGCGCCACCGTCGCGTACTTCTTCGCCTCGGCCCACCGGACGCCGAAGTCGGACCAGCAGCGGCCGCCCTCGCCGTCGGGGAAGACGGGCCCGAGCAGGTCGGACACGTAGAGCACGCCGCCGCAGGCCACGTGCCGGTCGAAGTGGTCGAAGGACGCGCGCCAGAGCGCCTGCGCGCACGCGAGGCTGCCCGTCGCGGCGACGACGTCGCCGGGCTTCTCGTAGGCGTCGCGCTGCCCGCGGTGGTGCCGCGCGCGGCCCCGGAGGCGCCGCGCGCCGGCCGCCGGCGCGCGGTCCGCGCCGCAGAGCGCGGCCGCGTGGTCCGCGCCGAGGTTCGTCTCCGTGACGTGGTGCATGCCCTCGGCCTGGAAGACGAGGTCGAAGGTGCGCAGAAGGGCAGCGGGTCGAGCCACGTCCAGGCGAGGATCAGGGACCCGCGCTCGCCGCAGACGCGCGCCATGGAGCAGTCGTAGAAGCCGAAGCTCAGGAGCCGCACCTTTGACCGGAGCCCGTGCTTGCGGAGGTGCGCGTCGAGGCTGCACGTGCCCGCGCCGGCGTCGAGGATCGTCCGCACGTGGCCCCGCGCGATCTCGCGCGAGAAGGACTCGAGCCACTCCTTCTTGTCGGGCAGCGCGCCGCCGACGCCGACGTAGTTGTCGCGCCAGGCGCCCGCCGTGACCGGGCTGTGCGCGTACTTGTTCGCCCAGACGGCGCGGTCGTAGCCGCGGAGCACGCCGGCCACGTCCCAGCGCGCGAGGCGCCCGGCGGACACGGACGCCGCGCGCGCGACCGCGCCCGCGCGGCCGGCCGCGGCGATGGTCTCGAAGCGCGCGGGCACGCGGTGGAACCGGGGGCACTTCGAGCAGCTCCCGGGCCGGCCGACGCAGCACGCGCCCCGGAGCGGCGCCGCCGCGGCGCCCGCGGTCCGCCGGTAGACGTTGCCGTAGTCGCGGAAGCGCGACGCGACGGCCTCGAGCGGCACGCACCGCTTCGACGAGTGGCGCGGCCCGCCGCGGTCGCAGACGCGGCCCGGCCCGCCGGGCGGCGTGCAGACGTCGGCGAAGAGCGTCGCCGGGTCGCCGAGGAGCGCGCCGACGCCCCGGCCGAAGCCCGGCGGCTGGTTCAGCACGACGAGCAGGCCGTCGGGCGCGACGACGCGCGCGCACTCGACGAAGAAGTCGAACTTGGCGTCGCCGGCGAGCGCCGCCGCGAAGCGCGCGCCCGCGTCGACGACGACTATGTCCGCGGCGAACTCCGCGAGGGGCAGCGCGGAGCCGTTGCCGAGGAGGAACGACGCCGCGCCGGCCCGCCAGAGCGCGCGCGCCGCCGCGCCGCCGCGGACGCCGTAGAGGACGTCGTACCTGCCCTCCTTCGCGAAGTCGCGGATCACGTCCTCGACGTCGACGACGAGGACGCTCCGCGCCGCGGGCAGCAGGGTCGCGACCGACGCCGACAGGCGACCGTCGGCGAGCTCCACGTGGAACGAGCCCCCGAGGGACCGCGCCGCCGCCGCCGTGGCGTTGCGGGCCCGGGGGCCGCCGTCGTCGGTGTGCACGGCCGGCGACGCGGAAGCGGCGAGGGCCCACGCGACGGCGAGCCGCGCGAACGCCCGACGTCGACGCATATGCACGAGCTCGACGTGTGCGCGCCCGGATGCTCGGGTCTCGAGTACTTTTAGCCCGACACAGGTCGTCGTGTCGCGGACGCGTTGAATCTGTCGGCGTGGTTCACAAACACGCTCTTGTGATTCAGCGAGCTCGTCTCGTGGGCAGTGGCATGCGACCTATGCGAGGGGCCCCTAGGCAACGTTGCGTCTTGCAGACGCGGCCGAGACGCGGGAGACGCGAGTTCCGGGACGCGGCAGGACGCGGCCAAGACGCCCCGGGACGCGGCCGAGACGCGCCGGAGACGCGGGACGCGGCCGGGACGCGAAAAAAAAGACGCCAGAGACCACCCCAGGACCGAACCCACGACCACGACCCCGGGACCGAAGCCAGACCCGCGGGACGCGAGAGACGCGCGAGAGACGCAGCCCAGACGCGGGACGCCGGCCCAGACGCCGGCCAGACGCCGCCAGACGCGGCCGAGACGCCCCAGACGCGGCCAAGACGCGACTTCCGAGACGCGCCGGAGACGCCGGAGGACCTGGCGGAGACTGCCCGGGGACTTAGCGAAAGACGCCCAGACCGCGCGTTGCCTAGGGGCCCCTCATGCGAACGAACCTTCGAGGGGTCCTACGCTGCGACGGTTCGCTGGCAGCCTAGCTGGCAGCTAGCTCGGTTCGTCTAGGTACGCCTCTAGCCCCGCCTGGCTAAGCTTGCTGACCGGTAGGGGATCGCCTAGTGCGCTGGCTAGACGCGGACGCGGACGCGGTGCTCGCGCTCGCGCGGAGCCAGGCCCGGATGTCTTAGCTTAGCGGACCCTAGGACGCGCGGAGCTCCTCGACCGGGTCTTCCTTCTTCTCCGCCGCGTTCTCGCAGGGGACGCAGGGGACCTCGTCCTCGCGCTCGCCGGCGACGTCGCCGCCGGAGCGGCCGGAGCGGCTCGACGCGCCCGAGGCCGACCGGTCCGAGCGGCTCGCCGAGCGGGAGTCGTCGCGGCGGCGGCGCGACCCGCCGCCGCGGCTCGCCGAGCGGGAGTCGTCGCGGCGGCGGCGCGACCGGCCGCGGCTCGCCGAGCGGGAGTCGTCGCGGCGGCGGCGCGACCGGCCGCGGCTCGCCGAGCGGGAGTCGTCGCGGCGGCGGCGCGACCCGCCGCGGCGGCGGGGCCGGCCGCGGCTGCCGTCGCTGGAATCGTCGCGGCGGCGGCGCGACCCGCCGCGGCGGCGGCGGGACCGGCCGCGGCCGGAGTCGTCGGAGTCGTCGCGGCGGCGGCGCGACCGGCGGCGGCGCGACCGGGACCGGGACCGGGACGGGGACCGGTCGCCGCCGTAGCCGCGGTTGTAGTAGCCCGTCGAGTAGCCCCCGAGCCCGGCGTCGCGGCGCTGCGGGCCGCGGCGGCCGCCGTTGCGGAGCCGGACCTGCGGTCGGCGCGCGGTCGGCGCGGCCTCCGCGGCGCGCGGTCGGCGCGCCGGGGCCGCGCGGGGCAGTCGCGGCCGAAGTGGCCGGGCTCGCCGCACTCGTAGCAGGCCATGGAGCGCCCCGCGGACGCGCCGCCGTCGTGGCTGTATCGGCAGGCGTCGCCGCGACTGCACCGCCCCGCCTCGAAGTCGAAGCACGTCTCGTAACCTGCGCCGCCGCGGCGGCTCACCGGGCGCCCGGCGCGCGCGCGTCGAAGGGGCCGCGCGCACCGAGCCGCCGGCGCCGCGCGCCGCCGCGCGGCGGCGCCACCGCTCCGCGCCGCCGAGCGCCGGAGCCGTGACTGCGGACGCAAACCGACGCGCTCGCGGACCCGAACCCAACCCAACCCGCGCGCGCGCGCCGCGCGCGCACGCACCGCCGCTCATCGCCGCCGTCGCGGTCGTCGCGGTCGGGTCGGTGCCGCACACAGCCGAGGTCGATCGATCGCGAGCCGCCGGCTCGCCACAGGACGGAGAGGCGTCGAGCGCCTCGTGCCCCGCGCCGGCGTGCCCAAGCGCCGACGCCCGTGAGCCCCCCCCCGGGCAGGCGCGCCGGAACGTACCCGCCGCCCCTCCACGCGGCGTCACGCCCACACCCGCCTCTGGGAACCCCCCGTTCTGGGAACCCCCCGTGCGATCGTCGGCGAACGTGAGACGTCTGGATACTCTGAGCGATCGCGATCGCCCGCCCTGATCACCGCCTGGATACGCATCGAGATCACCATGGGCACGAGCACGCCGACGAAGCGCAAGACGCGCTCCAAGTCGTCGCCCCCGGCCCCGCACGCGCCGCAGAAGAAGCAGAAGTCGTCGTCCGAGTCGCCGGCGGCGCGCTCGGCGAGCTACGAGGCGACGGTGGCGGCCGCGCGGGCGCGCGACGCGCGCGTCGTCGTCATCGAGTGCCGCTGCGGCGCCTCGGGCCTCGCCAAGGCCAAGGAGCTCCGCGAGCACGTCTTCGAGGAGTTCGGCGAGAAGGCGAGCGCGGGCGCGGGCGGCGACGGCGTCGCCGTCCTGCTCAACCCGCGGTACCTCGCGCCGCGGCCGGGCTCCTTCGTCGTCGCCGTCGGCTCGTCGACGCTCTTCGACCTCACGGGCCTGGCGAAGCCCTACGACGCCGTCGCCGATTTGGCGATGGCGGACCTCGTCGCCGCGACGTTCGCCCGCCTCGACGCGTGCCGGGGCGCCTAGCCGGGAGACCCCCCCCACCCCCCCCGAAACTTCGCATAATCCGCGCCCGACCCCATCCGACGCGCCGAAGGTCGCGCGGCGGCCTCGAGCGCGACGCGGGGGCGCGCGTCCTCCGGCGCGCGCGCGAGCTCCGCGCGATGTCGCGCGCGTGACGCGACGGGCGGGTCTAGATGGGGCGGGCACGTTACGCGGGCGCGTCGAGCGCGGCGAGCCTGGCCCGCCGCACGTCGTCGGCGTCGCCGCGGCCCGTCGTCCAGGCGAGCGGGCCGCCGCGTTCGACGCGGCGCAGGTCGTAGGGCCCGCCGTCCGGGCTGCCGTAGAGGAGCGTGCCGTCGAGGGCGTAGCCGCGGTCGTCGACCTGGAGCGCGTCCGCCGAGAGGCGGAGCGAGTCCTCGACGCGGATCGTCCGGCTCGCGTCGGCCTGGGAGCGGATTACGCAGCCGCGCCCGTCGCCCATGGTGCCCTCGAAGGCGCCGCCGCCGACGGGCCGCCAGAAGACCTCGCAGCCGCCGAGGCGCTCCCAGGCGCCGGTCGCTGTGGCGAGGTCCGCGAGGCCGGCGCACGCGCGCGCCGCGCCGGCCCGCGGGAGGTCCGCGCAGGCCGCGTGGGCCGCGTCGAGGGCGCCCAACGGCGGCCGGAACAGCGCCATGGCGCCGCCGGCGTCGAGCGCGTAGCAGCGCAGCCGGAAGACGCGCGCGGGCGCCGCGTCGAGGTAGTAGCACGCGAGCAGCACGCGCTCCGCGGCCTCCGCGGCGCCCGCGCCGACGAGCGCCGGCGCGGCGGCGGCGGGCACGCGGCGCAGGCAGCAGTGGACGTGCTCGTGGCCGTCGCCGTCCGCCGCGGCGACGCCCCGCCGCCGCTCCGCGGCGACCTGGTCGTAGTTGTCGAAGTCGCCGCGGAAGAGGTCGTCGAAGCGCCGCCGCCAGGCGACGCCGTTTCGCGCGACGGCGCGCCGGCGACGCGCCGCGGGCGCGCGCACGCCGGCGAGGGCCGCGGCGACGGCGACGCCGCAGGCCAAGCGCGCGGCGAGGCGGCGCATCGCTGTGGCAGAAGTGCCAGCCACAAGACCAGCATGGACGCGCCGGCGGCGGCGACGCCCGCGGAGAAGACCAGCATGGACGCGCCGGCGGCGGCGACGCCCGCGGAGAAGGCCATGGGCGAGATCGGCCAGCGCCTCGCGTCCATCGGCGCCACGAAGCTGCCGCCCGACGACGAGGCGCCGGCGCCGGCGAAGCCGGCCAAGGCGCCAGCCCTCAAACTGTTCGTCAGCTACAAGGAGGGCGACGACGAGAGCCTGCACATGGCGACGAAGTTCGTCGTGCCCAAGGGCTGGCGGCCCGGCCCCGTGTCCAAGCTGCTCGCGTTCGTCGTCGACACGTACAACGGCAAGCGCGCCGGCAACGCGCTCGATGTGGCTGCATGCCACCTCGAGGTCGGCGGCTTCGCGCTCGGGTCCGAGGAGGTCGTGGAGGCCGTGCTGAAGCCGCGCGACGAGGTGCTGCTGCGGCCGGGCGCGTCGCTCGCCCGCGGCGAGCGGGCGCTCGCCGCGGCGGCGGCCGAGGCGGACGCGCGCGCGCGGGCGGACGCGGCCCGGCGGGCGCGCGAGGGCAAAGTCAAGTGCTTGAACCACGGCTGCGGCACACTCTTCGACCCAAACGACAACCCGGCGGGGGCCTGCGCGCACCACCGCGCGCCGCCGTTCGTCAGCGGCGGCTACAAGGGCTGGCGCTGCTGCAACCCCAAGCCGACGATGGACTGGGACGAGTTCGCGTGTTACCCGGCCTGCGCGACGGGCCGCCACAGCGCGGAGCCGCCGCCGCCCTTCGCGCCGCCGGCGGAGGCGGCCAAGGCCGCCGCGGCGGTCGAGTCGGACGACGACGACGGCGGCGCGGCGGCCGCGGCCGCGGCGGCCGCCGCGGCGGCCGCGCCCGCGGCGCCCGAGGACGACGTCTCGCTCGCCGCCGTCCCGGGCGACGACGGCGACTTCAAGTGCCTCAACAACGGCTGCGGCCAGTTCTTCTGGGAGGAGGAGAACTTCAAGGGCCGCTGCCACTTCCACAAGGGCCGGCCCGAGCCCGCGCGCGGCGAGGGCCTCTACCGGTGGTCGTGCTGCCCGTCGAAGACCGCGGCGCGCGACGAGCTCCGGAGCGTGCCCGGCTGCGAGCGGGCCGCGCACTGGCGCGGGGCCGGGGCCCCGCGCGACGTCGCCTGCGTGCCCTGCCGCTGGGAATTTTGAGCGCCCCCGCCGCGCGCGCGCCCGCGTCCAAAGCGGGGACTCTAGGGCGGGGGTGGGCGCGCGCGCGCGCGCGGCCTCAGAGGGCGACGTCGTCCTGCGCCGCGCCCCGGAGCCACGGCAGGCCGAGGGCCTGCTTCGCGGTGACGCGGTCGGCCGGGTCGTAGGCGAGGAGCGCGCGGAGGAAGGTCGACACGTCGCCCGCGTCGCCGCGGTCGAAGCCGAAGTTCTCCTCGAGGACGCGCGCGATCGCGTCGACGCCGCGCGGCGGCGGCGCGATGGCGATGTTCTTGAGCGTCGACGCGTCGCCGAGGAACCACTTGGCGGACCGGTGCCCCCGCGCCGCGAGGGCCGGGGGCACGGGCCCGAGGAGCTCGACGGCCTGCGCGAGGTGCGACTCGTCCTTGGTGAACGCCTCGCCGGGCCGCGGCGACTGCGGGTCGAAGAGCGTCTCGCCCGTGAGGAGCTCGAAGACGAGGCAGCCCACGGACCAGACGTCCGCCGCCGGGCCGAAGGGCCAGATGCCCAGGATGCCCTCGGGGCAGCGGTACTCGCGCGTCTGGATGTCGCGCGCGGCCTGGCGGTCGACGTAGAACGCGGTGCCCAGGTCCACGAGCTTGACGGCGCGGCGCGCCGCACCGCCCGGCGCCTCGGGCTCCAGGAGCACGTTCTCGGGCTTGATGTCCGTGTGGAGCGCGCCGACGTCGTCGTGGACGAACGCGAGGCACTCCAAAAGCCGCGCGGCGACGGCGCGGACCTCGGCCGGCGGCAGCGCGCCGCGCTCCTGGATCGCGTGGAGCAGCGTCTTGCCCAGCAGCTCGAAGACCATGCAGACGTGGTTCCCGTGGGGGCCCGCGACGTAGAAGTGCTCCAGGAGCTCGACGACGCCCGAGTCGCGGCCCGCGGCCGCCGCGCGGTCCCGGACGTCGCGGAGGAGCTCGATCTCGTTCACGGCCGCGTTCGTGTACTCGGGCGCGGCCTTCTGGATCTTCAGCGCGACCTTGCGCCGCCCGACGGCGTCGTAGCAGCACCAGACCGTGCTGTAGACGCCCCAGCCCAGCTTGTGCAGCACCTCGTAGCGGTCGTCGTAGACGTCGCCGAGCGCGACGGGGTGGTAGCCGCCGGGGCAGTAGTCCTCCTCGGGCTCCGTCTCGTCGTCGTCGTCCTCGACGGGCGCGCCGTCGTCGGCCGCCGGCGGCGGCGGCGGCGCCGCGGCCGCGGCCGCGCGCGGCGGCGGCGGCGCCGCGGGCTCCGCGCGGCCAAAGGCCTCGGCCT